TGTAAGGAGAAGCAATAAAAAATTTGAGTAGCAAGAGGATATAATCTAGTTTTTTTACTCTAGTAATAGTAGGTAATGAAATTTTTTACTCTAGTAATACATCAAAACAATTAAGCTTTTCTCTTTCTACGGTTCTTTTCCTCATAGATCTTGGTATGCTATAGTAAAAATTAAATTGATTTAGATTTAAATTCACCGAACTGGAAACCATTAGCTATTCATAAAAAAATATTGGAAACCATTAGCTACAACCCCACAATTAATCATGGACATGCCAACCCCTTATTTAGGTTGGAAGCATCATATGAACATGATCTGCCATTTTATTGAGTTCTGTGGATTTACAAATATTGCAACAAGAGTTAGCATGGACGATTGGATGGTGCGGTGGTCTTTGTGGTTTTGGGATTGAATTGATTGATTGTTACCTTTGAATGTTGGATGACTGGTTACATTGTTGTTGATAGGAGCCAATCAGTCCTTCCAAGTTCTAACTTCAAACTCTCAGAGCTGTACAAAGGACAAAGAAAAACCCAAAATCAAAAAGAAGAAGAAGAAGAAGAAGAAGAAGAAGAAGAGAGACTAAGACTAAGAGAGTGAGAGGTGATAATACCGTCAAGCGTCGGCAGTGAGAGACTGAGAAGGTAAGAGATGAGATTTGACTGAGAGCTGTGAGTACCGCCGGTCCGTCAGGAATCAGCTAATGAAGAGTACTGCCAGTTCACAGTTGCAGAGTTGCAGCCTTGCAGTCGCAGACTCGCAGCTCGCAGCTCGCAGCGTAGGGAGAGGGAGGGTTGAAAGTTGAAATAAGGGTTTTCTTCGCTCAATGCTTGCTTGTTTGATTGATTTTTCATTTTCCCTCTTTTTTTTTGTTTGGTAATTGCTTTCTTTAGAGTGTGAATGGGGCCACCATACATCTGTATTCCCCACCAATAAGATTTTTTCTAGAGGCATAATATGTATAATAAATATTATACACACACAAATATAAATATATATATATTCTCATTTACACATAGGCTCGGCTAGGCTCGTGAAAAGCTCGGTTCGTTTTCACCGCTATTGACATGGTAGGGACACCTCGGGGCTATTGAATAGAATGAAAACCATGTCTTGTCTCCATGAGCCATTCAAATCCATCAAGTCATATATTCTAGTTCAATCCATGTCATAAGTAGAAAGGAGAGAGTCTGAGGGGACCCTCCAATGATTGACAGAACCCAAGGGTCATGGAAAGTTAAAAGGGATTTTTAGACTGCACTCCACCTTAGAAATCTGATTTGAACTGCAGACCTACAACAATTCAAAATTTTAAACAGCTCCACCTATAGCACTCATACCAACCCGTGAATTGGCATCAATTCCGAGCTGGCACCTACCTCCAACTGTACGGTGGATATAGGACTTCTGAGGTGGAGTGCAGTCTAAAAACCCCAAGCTAAAATCATTCCTGCCATCTTTAATAAGCTACAAAATATTAGGCTTGAGAGAGCCATGGATTATGATAACTTGCTTCCACCGATAAGAGGCACCATTATTGACTTTTACCTGCCAAAGGCTCCTACCATCATAATATTTTGCTTGGATAACTCTAGCACAAAGTGAATTCCTATCTTTTAGCCTCGCTAGTTTGCATCTTTGTAACTTATCCATGTAAGTGTATTTATCCAGGTAAATGTTTCCTGGGCAACATTTATCTGGGTAAGTGCATTTACTCATGTTTTTTTGATTTACAGGATTCTCAAGTAACATAATGACATTTTTACTCATAAAAAATGGGTAAATTTATCTTATTATGCTTTATAAAAGTTTCCTCAAGATGGGTAAATTTTATCAAGGAAAGTGGAGCTTATTTTATTATGGGACCAATTCGTAAATGCAAAAAAACACATTATAAAATGGGTGAATGGGAAAAAGATACCCATTGACCAACTTTCCTAACCAGTAAACGAACAAGACCTTTAGTAGCCTCCAGATTTGCTTAGAGAAAAAAGTGCTGTTCATTTCCTTTAGTCTCCGCAAACCTAGGCCTCCAAATTGTTTGGGCTAATTACTTTTCTCGTAAGCAAGGGGGACTAGGGTGCACTTATTAGAATCTTGTTTCCATATGAAACTCCATGTTAATATAATCTTTCCATTTTAGCAATCTATCCATGCAATAATAGAAGTGTGCTCATAAGCATGTGCAGCGACTTGTACAAGGGTAACTCAACCTGCTTGTAATAAAAGTTGTGCTTTCCAATTCTAGTTTAATTAGCTTTCACCTTGTCCAAAATTTCATTGGCGACAACAATTTTGTTTCTCCCAACCCAAAGCCTAGCTCCCAAAGTGTTTGTCATTCACGTTCACTAGGTTAATGCCTAGTACATCATGCAGCCTCTGCAATTGGTTTGTCTTAGCCCGACAAAAGATAAAACAGTCATCAACAAAAATTGGTGAGAAATAGCTGGAGCTCGCCTAACTATTTTAATTTCTTTTAGAGTTTCTTGTGCTATAGTTCAATTTCTAATAACTGTGAGAGTGCTTGCATCCCAATAATGAAAAGGTAAGGTGATAGCGGTTCGCCTTGCCTGTGTCCACATTTTATGATAAAATTACCAAAATACCCTCCATTTAAAGTCATTGAGAATGAGTTTGAAAAAATTAAAATGCATTGGTGTATCATGTCATACCAAATCGGAGGGAAATTCATTTTCCTCATAACAGAGGTTAAGAAAGTCACCCATGCGATCAAAGGCATTAAACATATCAACTTTTATAGATAACCATCACTTCTTTCATTTTTTTTTCTCATGTACTTGAGAATTTCACATGCCAAGATGATATTATCAGATATCTACCTGCCCTTCACAAAACTTGCTTGGTTTGGCACAATTAACTTTGGCATCAGGAGCTGGAGCTGGTTTGCAAACACCTTTGACACAATTTTGTAAGAAACATTACAAAGATTAATGGGTCTGTAATGGGTAGGTCTTTGACAATCCTTAAGATATCGGAGCCTACCACATCCCAGTACCTTTGATAGAAAAAACTAGTGAAACCATCCTTACCCGGGGTTTTATGTAGATGCATTTGAAACATTGCTTGCTTTACTTCTTCATTATAGGTTCAGCAAGTAGAGCGATCACATCCTCTCCTCCCTTAGTGTGGGTAAGGATAAATCACTAAGAAGACATTCATCCATTTCATCTTTGCCACTTGCTTTCAACAATTATATTCCGTTTTGAGCTCCTTGCTGATTTGCTCCTCGTGCTATAGTTCCCGACCATCCTCAAATAGGAGCCAATTTGTAGAATTTCTTCATCTTCAAAGCCTTATTGAATTATATTATTGAAGAACTTTGTATTGAGACCTCCATAGTTCCCCAGATCTGAGCTACCACAGCTACTCTTCCCTATCTAGCCAAATGCTATATTTTATCTCAAGCTTCTTGATCCTCACCATATAATTAGGGTTATCCTCGTGCAATTTCAGAGAATTGAGCTAGGTTTCAATTTGCTGTAACCTACACTTGATGTCTCCAAAATGTTTTTTATTCCAACGGGATAGGCTTCTTCTTCAGCTGTGTTTGGTTTGAAAGAAAAGGTAGGAAAAGGAAGGGAAAGATAGGGAAACCCATATAAGGTCTACACAGGTTTCCTGGCCTGCGGCCTTTCCTTTCCTTTCCCTACCTTTTCCTTCAAACCAAACATAGGCTTAGGGTTAGTAACTTAGATACTATACAACCATCTGCAAGGTCATGGATATTAGTGTCCCAAGGTGTGGAAATGAGATAATGACAGTCCTCATCCTCCCCCCCAAAGGAGAGGAAGTGAAAATGACTCCTATGGAATGAGTGAGGTGGTTAGGTGTCAAGTAAAATGGGGCATGCAGTGATCCGAGTTGATTGAGGAAGTAGGGGAAATCTTGGTGTTTGGGAAGATGTATAGCCATTGGAGGCATGGTTTTTCAAATTGGATCGGACCGGAAGAACCGGAAACTGGTCAGGTGACCGGTTTTGTTTTTCCCCAAAACCAGATTTTTGTTAAAAAACGTTGATTTGGTCAGCAAACTGCTGACTCAGACAGTTGAACCGTTCAAACCATTCAGCGGTTTTGACCGTTTTTTTTTGTTAGAAGGGCCGACCATTCGACCCGGGAACCGGACCCCTAACTGGTTCATTGTCTGGGTCGGTTTTAAAAACCTTGATTGGAGATTAGAGATGGCTCTATCAAATTGTTCTCTAACATTAGCAAGGCCTTGCTGATTATCTGTCCACTGTCCATGTGAGAAAGGGCCTTGAAAGTCAAGGCCCAGCAAGTTGTGATTATTAATGAAGTGTATGTATGAGTCTAGATCTCCTACTCACAAAATCTCTGTTCACGTCTACCCACATAACATTGTAGTCATACAAGGAGAACATCTCATCCTCCTACATAGTATTATGCAAGAAAAGATGTTTCCAATTCACGAGGTGTTGTGTTGTGGGTAGACGTGAACAGAATTCTCATGGGTAGGAGATCCGGAATCGTAGTGTAGATAATGAGATCCAGAATCGTACCGTAGATAATCTAATATCTGGTGGGGTGGTACAGCCGTACAGGTATCCCTAAGAGCATTGAAATCCATCCCCTATTATATATAAGCCATGATTGGTTTGAATCTGAAAGCAGCTATTTTACAACAAAAAAAAAAAATGGAAAAGATTATGTCTGTATCCACTCCCCCTCAAACCCTACTGCAACCATGGTTACAGCACTTCCTTACAATTCTCAACAAAATGTGATAATTATGCTTGGGAAAGTGAATATTTGTTTTCACAGTTGTAAACGAGGTAAACTGGAATTTGTGATGATCTTGATGAGTATTTGGCAAAATTTTGATTAAATTGCAGCAGGAATTTAGAAAAATAAGACTAACAGGGTAGTCATACATATTCTAATTAATCCCTTATGACAAGAGTTCGAGATTTTTATTAATTGTTGATGATGGCAGTAGTCCTGGATGAAGGCCGAGTTGATTCATGTTGCATCACATTCTGGAGGGGGCACGGGGTACCTAGTTTTGTCGGAACAGTAGTCATAGACCATGTAATTCTTCCTGACATAGAGATATCGTTTCTGCTGAGTGGAGTTTAGATTCGAATACTTGTCTCTGTTCCACCAAAACTTGGGAGAATAGCAAAGCTGAGGCAATTTAGAAGAAGGGCAAGCATCAATATCAAAATTCCGAAAGTAGGTCTTGAATGGTGCTACAGTCCAGTTAACCTTTGTTTGACCTCCATCTGTTGCCCAACTGTCTCCATCCCATATGCTTCCTACTACTTGCATTGGTTGTGATGGGTAATGGACTCCTATCTTTGCTTTGTTCCTGAAAACCCTAATGGGAGTATCGTCCACGAAAAACCTGCACAATGCCCACAATGAGAATAGGACAGAGACGGCCCTTAAAATGATTGATGGATAGCCCATTTGATTTGAGCTCTATGGATTTTTCACCAAACATAGCTTATAGGGTGTTCATGTGGGGCTGACCTCAAAAAACTAGAAGCCAATGTACTTTAGCCCTCCCAAACAGGCACTCTTAATGTTACCATATGAGACTTTGGATTCCAAATAGACACTGTATATGTATGATGAACTGAGTAGATTTTCTTATTTTGGGTTCAACTATGACATAGAAAAGATATGATATCCAAAAAACTTCTGACCAATCGATTGGAATCATACATGTGATAATCAATCAAGTGTTATTTATCAAAATTCATGGGTGGGTTTTGATTGATCAGAACTCTTCGGATACCATGTCTTTCCCGCATCATAAATTTCCGGATTTTATATAATATTTTTATGGTAGAGAGAGAGAGAGAGTTATATTTCTACTTTCTCCAATTCTACTTACACTATTTGATGTGTGTTCCAGAGTACTCTGTAAGTATGGAAACGTGCAGAGGGATCAAACCATAGAAGAAATCTCTGCTCTCTATTCCCTACACCATTTGTATAGACATTTGTTTGGAGGTAGTGAGGCTTCCCTTCTTTGTTTCCCAGGAACTCAAAATCCAGCTCATCATGAATATCCGAGTGTGAGGTCAGCTGCACATCTTTAGAGTCAATAACTTTTCATTCCTAAACTAAACATGGACTAAAAATTAAGAACAGCTCTGATACTTCTCTCATTCAGTTCTTCACATCTACTAGGATTTAAGAAAATTATAGGATATCCAAGCAGAATTACTACCAAAAGAGAACAAGGGGAAATCACTTCAACTTTCCAATGTGTATCCTAACAAATACTTAAATCACCCCTGTACTTTGGCCTCTGCAAAAACATCCTTTTACATTTAAACTAAATATGCAAATGCATGCACTAATAAAATCTTAATCACAATAAAGTTTTCATGTGCTGAAACATTAAGGGAGGTTTTCATGGAGGTCAAAATATAGTGGAGGTTTAAGCATGAATCAATGGAGGTCTTTCCAACCATTATATTAAGAAATAATGAGCAAAGCTTCTTACATAGAATGCTGTAACAACGCCGGCAGAGTCCCCAACTGGTACCTTGATCCTCATATTAAAGAACCCAGATGCATAGACCATTTTTGATGCTATAGCAGATCCTATATTCAATAAAAAGAAATGGATAGAAGAAATTTTCAATTACAGCCCAAATCCTTAATAATGAAGTTAATATTAGTCTTTCCTATGGTAATCATTCAGTTTCAAGAACTATTACAATTTGACCACAGAAAATTAATTAGTTCACCAAACTCTGTTCTAAGCTAGGAATCAACACAATTTCAAGTTTGTCCATCGTCTCTAAATGGTAATACTTAACATAACAAGGTACTTAGTGAAGAAGAGAGGGCTGTCACGTGGAAATATAGATTAAGAGGTGTTTTAGAAAGAATTTTAGGAGGGAGTTGGCTAAATGATTTAGAACATGAAAGAGATAATTGAAGTGGCACTCTAGTGTAGAAGAAAGGGCTGCCACGTGGCTACATGGAAGGGAAGTAGAAATAAGAAACAAAGTAAAGAATGAAATATAAGGGTATTTAATTTACGAGAGGATTCATTCATGGAGAACTGGACCTCTCTTTCTTTGTATAGAAACTGAACATGGTGTTGTGTCCATGGAATATAATAGTTTTCATCAAATCGGGAGGTATTCGTTCGGTGTTCCAGCAAGTAACCCACCAACCAAGAGAAATCTTCATACTGGTGGATGGTGATATATGTAGGTTAGTAGTTATAATTTCATAAGCCACTCATTGTTTGCCCTAAAGAAATCTCTTCTTTGACTAAGTTATTGGTGGTTTGTGGCTAGACAGAGTCTAACTACTAATTTAAATTATTAATTAATTGTAATTGCTAAAAATTAGAAATTTCAGCTTTGACTGCTCAACAGTTGAACCAAGAATTGTGGAAACTTCAAGTTTAGATCCAAGACTGGGTAGTTGAGAGGAAACCAGTTCTAAGGGGTTAGTAAACAACTAAGGCAAGAATAAGAGTTTGTGAGGCTAAGAAACCAACCCAAAAGGCCAAAAGTAAGAAAAGATTATTTGAGGCTTCAAAACAGAAAAAAAAATTACTCGATTGGTTGGGCCAATGACCTAATCGGGTTTATCATTACTACCCATATATACTGTGAAACCACATAAGACAACTTTTGTGAGTGAATAGAACCTACAAAAGCATACAGAACAAAGAAACCCAAAATAATAAAAAACCAACCTCTGGTCTCGGAATTGAAGGCAAGAGAGAAGGCAGAGATGAAAACTACAGTTTGGACACTTGATACAATCAAATTAAAAGAAAAAAATAAAGCCAAATATTGGATGTCCGGCCGGTTGGTCCCAGCTATCTGGGGTCTTGGGAGGGGTAATTGGATACAGACCTAACCTTTGGTATTATATTTTTGCACAAAGTGGCTATTCTCAGGCTAGAACCCTTTTTCTCATACTTTTTTCTTATCAATAACAAAACAAAAAACTTTATTAATGATGTGAAGCTTTGATCTCCTTGTGGGTATCTCAAAAGTTCTTTTTTTTGAAAAATAAATAAAATTTTATTAAAGAAAGAAGAAGGAGAAAGAGAATATACAGAAACCTCCATGAAAGAGGCCTAAGAAGGACATCTCAAGTACTTGCAGAAAATACTGTAGTAGGACCTTGTGTGCTAGGTGACTTTTACATGCAGTATTTTCATGAGGTCTGATTAAGCACTAAGCTTCAAAGGTGTGATTTCAAATCAAATCTTTAAATGGGTTTACTCTATTCCTCAAATAAATGGCGGTAGGATGCCTGGTAATATTCCAACTCAGAGATAAGTTATATAAAACAAAGCATGCATGAGGAAAAAGTATAGAAATTTGAAGCAGAAATATACAGAACTCAGAACTAATCAATGACTATCTGTATCTATCTAACAACTTCAAATAAAGTAGAAATAAGAAACAAAAAGAAAGGTGAAATGTAGAGGATTTAACCAGAGGCTTTGTCCATGGAGATCTGGACTTCTTTTCCTTGGTGTAGGAACTGGACATGATCTTGTGCCCATGCAACGTAGTAATTCTTATCAAAGCTGGAGGGAATGGCTATCTTTTTTCCAGCAAGTGCCCCACCAACCAAGAGGAATACAGACAAGCCCAACAAGAAAGACCTCATTGTATGAAAAGTTGAATTCACAAAGAGAAAGTAGTGTAGGCTTATCCCTAGTAACTGTCTCTTAATAAAGCGTGCATCATCAGACTTTCTGATCAGTTAAGAAGACTCAAGAACATGCAACTATTCTGTGACCATAACTCCCTCTACCATTCCTCTACGCACTTGGCAAGGAGTTTATGTATTGTCTCCTTAAACTTAGGATGCAAGCAAGTACTTGCTTTCCTGGTAGSTTAAAAACATATATCTATAGTAGGRACACTTAGATGACAAATGATATAGAAGTTGTGAGCGCTTCAAACTCTATTTGGGTTAGTTGTTTATCAACCCCTTAGAACCGGATCTCTTCCACTAACCAGTCTTGGATCTGAACTTGAAGTTTCAACAATTCTTTGAACAGTTGAGCACTCAAAGCTGAAGTTCCTAAATTTTAGCATTTGCCATTCATATAATAGTTGAGGTCTAACTGTTTAGCCACAAACCACTGATAACTTGGTCAAAAAGAAAAAAAAAAATAGATTTCTCCTTGGGGAAAACAATGATATCAATACTTGTGACTATATACTAATTAACCTGGCTTCCTATATCATCACCAGCATGAAAATTTGAGTAACATATATACCTTTTGAAGAACGTGCATCAAACAAGTTTTTTCTATAGATATGAGCTTCTAAGGAAATGACGATTAATCCATTACAAGCTATTAAACTTAGTACAAATTATGACAGGCAGGCTTGAGAGAAACCTATAACAAAACATCTTATTATTTAGAAAATTAAGACGAGTAATTCATGAAACTAACATATCGAGCTGTTAATAATGGGTCAGGTATGGTTTGGGACATGGTGGACTACTAGTCCTTAACTAATTATTAGGGAAAATTCTCGATTAGTACCCTTTACTTTGGGTCTAGTGTCACTTTGGTCCCCGAACTTTAAAATGCTACAATTCAGCATTGGACTTTCAAAATATGACAATCCAGTATCTATCGTTAACTAGCTGTTAATCAGCCGTGAAGTGATATTTTAAAAAGGCACAAATGCCCTTTGAGTGTCACCTAATTTTCTTTATCAATTATGTAAACATTGACAAAAAAAAAAAATAATAATCCCAAATCTTTGCTTCTTCCATTCAAAAAAGTTGGGATCACCAGAATGCCCACTCAAGCATTACCCCAGCTTTCTTGAATGGAAGAAGCAAGGATTTGACACTTTTAATATTTTGTCAATGTTTAGATGGTTGATGAAGAAAAATAAATGACACTCAAAGGGCATTTGTGTCCTTTTAAAATGTCACTTAACGGCTAATTAACAGCTAATTAACAACAAGTACTAGATTGCTACATTTTGAAAGTTCAGATACTGAATTATCGCATTTTAAAGTTCGGGGGGCCAAAGTTATACTAGGCACAAAGTACATGATACTAATTGGGAATTTTCCCTAATTATTAATCAGTTTCATAAGATAGACTGAGAACCAAACCAATTATTAATCGAGATAGTATTCAGACCTGACCTTAATAAAAATGACAGTAAAATAGAAAATTATTTATATGTTGATAAAACAAGTGATTTTAACCAAAATTATCCTCTATGACATTTACCCTTTTAGACATATTATTAATTACTATTAATAGGGGCACATACGACGCACGGGAAAATCATATAATTTGAAAGATACAAGGGATTTTTCATTTTTGGGAGAGGTTAAAATATAGGGAAGGCTTAAGAATTGTTTCTCCATGGAGCTACACAACCGGGGGGGGGGATCATCCCCAAACACATTAAACCACCCAATTCTAGTGCAAGCTGGATTTGTTTGAAAGTCTCTGCTACAACAAATACGAGACCATTCTCACTAACCAATTTTGGCATTGGATGTCAAAACTAAATTAATACAAATATCTATTTATAATTTATTGTTGTTTGTACATAAGAAAATAAAATATAGAAAGAAAAATTTGAAAATCTTAAAAATCCTTAATACAGATATTGATATAAATAAATTACTTTTCAAAAACTTATGAATAAATTTCCAAATTGATATGAATAAATTAATTGTCAAAAAAATTTGAATTTATGAATAATTAATTATTGAAAGTATAAAAATTTCAGTAATTTAGATTTTTTTTAAATTAACTTTCACTAAATTAAAATACCAAAAACAATAAATTTAGTTTATCAAAATAACTAAATTAAAAATTCCCAATAAATACCAAAAATAAATGTCAATTATGATAATTTTAGAAATCATTAATAATTACCAAATATAAATTATCAATATTTAAATTCCCTAATAATTTTTCAATTTAATAATTACCAAAAACCAATGTAAATTACTAATAATTAATTATGGAAATTATTAACATTTCCAATTTAATAATTTTCACGAAATATTAAAGTTTCTAAATAGTTATGAAAATTATAAATATAGTTAAGATTTCGCAATAGTTTTCCAATTTGATATTTTACAATTGCCAAAAACCAATATAATTGTTGAAAATTCAATAAATAAATTTATTACAAAAATTAATTTCTAAATTAAACATTATTCTGAAATTACCTGAAAATTTCTGAAAATTACTTTTTTTTTAAATTATAAAAATAAATACTTATCTGTAAATTACTGAAAATTTCATGTAATAATTATCAATTTCTGATAATACTAATATATAATTAATTTCATATAATAATAAATTCATATTTAAATATTAAAGTTTGATTATTGATATGAATAAATTAATTTTCAAACATTTATGTATTTTATGAATAATTAATTACTGAAATATCAAAATAAATTGATATTTTCATTATTTTAATTATCTTATATGTTTAATGTTTGAGAAATTTCCAACTTTGTTATAGTGTTCAAATGGGAGGTAGGGTGACATGGCGAGAGGCTAAGAACCGGATGATGTGGCAAAATGAGGGGCCTGAGAAGGGTGAAGGTAAGCCCGTATTGAACTCAGCTTGTTGTGCTCATTTTTCATTATTATAAAATTAAATTTAAGTAGAGTTTAAATTAATAATTTTTAATTTTATTAAATTTTAATTTATTTACTAAATTGTTATTGATGTGTAATTTAAGTTATGATTAGGGGTGCTCACGGTTCAGTTAACCAAACTGTGGGCCTTTTTTTTGTAATCGAACTAGTACTAATGGTTTTTGGAAAGCCGGTAACCAAAACCAAACCAAAGTCAATCAGTTAACTGTCGATTTAGTTCGTCAATTTTTTGGTTTTTTAATTTTTATAATATATATTATAAAAATATATAAAAAATGTAAATATATATAAGATATTATATTTTAAATAATAAATAAGGTATCATATATTATAAATATATATTTATCTATATAGTGCATATTTATTAATTTATAAAATATATAAATATATATAATATACATAAATATATATAAAATATATAAAATTTATGTATGCCAGTCGGTTCGGTTAATCACCGGTTTTTTATATTGGTTAATCAAAACTGTACCGGTACCTTCAGTTTTTTAAAAACATCGAACCGAAACCGGTTTCATTCAGTTCGGTTTTTCGGTTTTTTTGCTCACCCCTAGTTATGATATTATGCTCAATATATTACTGTATAATTTTTTTATTCATATTAGAATTTGTTGTTATAAATTAAGTATAATATTATTGTAATTAATTTTAATAATTATTACTGTTAAAAATAAAAAATAGTAATTTATTTTAAATTTTTATTACATTAATCATTTTTAAATTAAAATTGTTACTGTTTGATATAAATTATTATAATTAATTATTAAATTTTCAATGATGATATGGAAAATATTATGCATAATTATAATAATTTTTTAATTATTAAATTTTATTACTTTTATTATTTGCCTTATTGTATTATTTATTTTATTCTTATTAGTATTTTAGATATTTTTTACTCATCTTATTAGTAGTTTAGATAGAGAAAGAAAAATAAGGGGTTGGGAAAGAGGCATTGGAATTAGGTTGTTTATTGTGAGATAGGTTAGGAGGTGTTTTAGGTGGGAGAGATAATTTAGGAGAGGAGATGATTTAGTTGACTGGGAAGGAGTGTGTGTGTGTGTGTGTGTGTGTGTGTGTGTGTGAGAGAGAGAGAGAGAGAGAGAGAGAGAGATTTTAAGAATAAGACAAGGGGATTATTGCCTAAGTTGTTTCCGTATTAGTTTAATGGGCAATTAGGTGGAATTAAAAAATAAAAAATTCATAAAAACTAGAAATTAGGAAGGGACTTTGGAGCAAGGAGAGGCCCTTTGACGTGAACCACGTTGCTTTATAGAAGGAAATAGGAAATAAGCCCTTTGACGTGGAACACATTAGTTTAATGTGTTATGTCTAATAGACCCGACCCATTGACAAAATCTACCAATAATTATAGAAGGAAATAGGAATTCAACTATCATGCTAAATGTTGAAATCATCACTTAGACTAGAAAACAATGACATAATAATTTTAATATTTCACAACTAAGATGGACAAATAAAAGATAGATAACTCATAAACTACTTGCATTGTTAAGAGACTATAGAACTTGCATGTAACCGATTTTAGGAATTGATTTCTATGTACAAAAAGCATTTTACTTTTCTTCTTCTTCTTCTTCTTCTTCTTCTTCTTCTTCTTCTTCTTATTATTATTATTATTATTATTATTATTATTATTATTATTATTATTATTATTATTATTATTATTATTACTTTGTTTTTTAAGAAATCCCTTAGGCTAATCCATTCAACAATTACTCACTTACATCGGATTCCAAAACAAGAATCAAGAAATTAGGTGGTAAGGACCAAATATAAGGTGTGAATGAAGAAAGAGCAGGTTTAGTAGTTCGGTTAGCCACCAAGGGGGTGTTCTGTAGTGTGGATGAGAAATTGGTGGGTGTGGATTGGTCCACACCACACCCTATGGCAGGGACCAATCCACACCACACCATAGTCCACAGTTGTTCTGAATTGTGGATAGATTGTGTAGATCGGACCA